CAATAGTTTCCGCAGCGTACGCGATATAAAGATTCTTTTTGGTATTTTTTTCACACCTTGGGTTACATTAACGAATTTTTCATACGGATCCCTAACTTTTTTGAAAATATTATATAGCCTATATTCATCAGGGATAATGTAGGATTCTAATGGTGAAAGAATTTTTCAAATCGGTCCAGTAGTTTCGGAGCCTATTCAATTCAAACAAACAAACAAATCTTTCCTCTTTATAATAGTAAAAAAAAAAATAGTGTAGAAGTGTAGATGTATTATTACATCAATTCAACGTTAAAATAAATATTTTGTAGTTTTTAGCTACAATCGGAATAGATTCGATATAACTTGTAAAACTACAGTACACAATATTATATTTTTTATTTTATTCAAAGTCGGTAACTTAATGTGAGATGGGAAATTTGCGCGCCTGCTGCCTTCCTTGGACGTAGTAGCAGTTTCTCGAGCTCCCTCTCCTGAAAGTTTTATTCTAAACGTGCACTTGGCACAAGGACACTACCGGGTATCAGGGATGGAAAAATCGCTAATCCTGAGAATCCTGGCAAGGATAATGGGACAAACTATTTAAATTATTACATTGTCGTCGGTCCTTGACAAGTGTGAGAAGTTTCGATTCATTCTGACGTTTTGAAGGATATGAGAATCACATACAAACATTCCGTCACATAGATACATACCATGCTAATAAAATCGTGTTAAATACTAATCTTCGTGAATAGAATATTGCTAAACTAATTCATAATATTGCAGACTGTAACAGAAAAATTACACCTCAGTTAATTACAAATAGTCCGACTAGTAAGTACAACTTCGACCGACAGGTCAATCGACGGATCCAACTCGGCTGGGCAGCGCGTGTTGCCAGTGATGACTTATGAATCTGAGATGAATGAATCTGTCCTTCACTGCTGGCCGTATTAGGAAACCCCAAGGTCGCTCAGCGAGCTATGAAGTTTCCGCAGAATACCCGCAGTAGAACCAGAGTGACCAACATAGCCCAACGGATTAGTAAGCTGAAGTGGCAACGAGGCGGTCATATAGCTCGAAGAACCGACAACCGATGGGCAATAAAGGTTTTATTCCGGTAGGCGAAGTGTAAGGCGATCCCCATATGGAGTGAGGAACTGGTAAAACATGCGGGAAATAGAAAGATACAGGTGGCTCAGTACAGTGGCTTGTGGCATTTCTTGGAGGAGACCTATGTTCAGCAGTGGACTTGTAATGGGCTGTAATAATGATGATGACTAATACTAAAGAACAGTTGAAAGCAAGTTTTGAATTTTAATTTAAACTAAATAGGATTAGAGCGAGTGCTATAGTACGCGCTTATGGACGCCACTGAAGTTCATTGTCTGCCTGGGTGATAGAACCTCAATATAAAGGGTGTCTCAGCGCCGATTTTAAACTTTGAATATTTTATTTAAAAAAAAATTGTGTTTATAATATTTTAATTGTAGTAAATTATAGTACATTAGTGCGAATTTTATGTACGGAATATTACATCGTCAGGATGTATTCCATCACAGCGAATGCACTCTTCAAAGCGGAGTAAAAGCGGCTCCTGACATGCCTGCCGCAGGGGCAATCTAGGGTGTAGGAGTGGGGATGACCCTTAATTGCCTCCTTAATTGTGATGTGTGTAGGCAAGCAGGGGCAATTTTTTAAGTAGGCCCTGCGGCAGGGCGGCAGGAGCGCAAGACCTTCCTTGCTCCCTAGATCGGCCCTGCCGCTGTCGCGTGTGAAGCGCAATTGGGGCAATTTCAATCAGTTCGTTGCGACTTTCGCGCGGAGCACATGTATGAGTGAGTACTAGTCAGAACCGCAGAAAGAATGTTATTTGAACGTTGAAACTTACAAGTAGCGTTACTTGGATTTGTTACCTAACTTATAAGGGCTAGTATGGGAAAGAAAATATTCCAAGAGTATTAAAATTGCTGGAATATAAATAAAATGTCATTAACTAAATAATTAAACAAAAATACAAAGTTTAGTAATTTAGAAAACTATCCTGGCTATTTGTAAGACTAGTTAAATTATAGTTACTATCACAGAATAAATTGGTTATATTAAATTATGACGAGTGAAGTTAGTCATATTTAATTGTCTTTGATAGCCTAAAAATAGCGTGGCAGAGCTATGCTGCAGCTTATAAGCACTATATTATGGTGGTAATTTATTGATATATATATACCGCTATAGATACCGATTTATTGATATTTCGATAAAACTGGCGCCATTCTCAACGCGTGCGTCCAGCGAGACGTACACTCTCCTCATACTGAACGGCAGGCATGTGTATAGAGACAGCTCCGATATTGCGCCGATCGCTGTGCTCCCTAGATTGCCCCTGCGGCAGGCATGTCAGTAGCCGCCTTAACGAATTTGCAGAAACATGCCGAAGAACGTCAATTGATATGGCCCTCATTTCTGTCCGTTATTTTAGTCTTCAGTTGCTCTAAATTCGTAAGAGGGGTATCAAAAACTCTTGCTTTGAGATAACTCCATTAAAAAAAAGTCAGCTGAGGTTAAGTCGGGAGATCTGGGTGGCCACAATATGTCTCCAAAGCGGCTTATGATTTTTCCCCGAAACAACGCTTTTAGTGTGTCCATGGAGACCCTAGCTGTGGCCCTTCTTCTTGCTGAAATCATACACCGGACTTGTCAACAGCTCTCTTCTCAACTCTTCTTGCAGCTGCGGTACAAAAAAGTTATTAATTATGTCGATATACCGCTCGCTCGTCACTAACCGTTGCACCTCGATCATTCTCGAAGAAAAATGTCCCGATGATTTTCTTCGCCGATATTGCGTACCATACAGTAACTTTGGGGCTGTATAATGCCTTCTGATGTTTTTGTTTTGGATTACTGGATGACCAGTAACTGCAATTTTGGCGATTGACATACCCTTCGAGGTAAACGTGTGACTCATCGCTAAAATAAACATTGGACACCCATTTTTCTCTGAATTAATCTCAAACTTATTGTAGTCTTCTGGTTTGATTTTTGAACTATTTGGATTTTATAGGGATGTAATTTTAAGTCCATTTAAGGCCATAATTCGTTGAATACTTGAACGATGGAGGTTCAAAGAGGCAGCATGTTTTTTAACTGATCGTCGTGGATGATCCGCGACCGCAGCGGTGACGCGGTCGATGTTTTCAATCGATCGAACAGGTCTAATTCGAGGGCCAACTGAATGTTTCATTAAACGTCCTGTCGCTCTGAACTTTTTACCCACGACTTAATTAACTGAATACTCGGGGCATCATTTAAACGGCGGATTTCATAGCGATTACAAAACTTGCGCTGTGCTTTCCTCGCCGAAAACTCGTTGCAAAAGTACGCCTCTACTGCGTACACGCGGTGCGCGCCAGACCACTAGGACATAGCGACTAAAAAGACCGCACTCATCACCTACCGAACGCTACCTCTCCCCTCCCGCTAACCCCGCGGGTTGCCCAGAAATTCGTGTTTAAAGTTTAAAATCAGCGCTGAGACACCCTTTATGTCTGCCATGCAAAATACATATTTCTAATAATATTATCAACAAAATTTATAAATTGCAGCTTTATTGTAATAACGTAAATTATAAAGAAAAAATTGTACTTGTCAACCTGTCTGCCATGACCTTGCGACCGCCATAGGTGTATGCCAATGTTATTTTTCGGTAACTTTTATTGAATATTTCAAGATGTCAAAGCGGCAGACTTATTACTATCACGTTTTTTTTTTGGTAATTTTTTTTATACCTTTAACACCTGAGCGTCTCTATATCGACCACCGGTCTAACTAAAGAGTCCCCATTTCATGTACCTCAGGTATAGGTAAGTCTGCCGCTCACTGGCTCTTTAACCATAAGAACTGGTCTGACTGGTATTTTAATTATGATGGGATTAAATCCATTGCCTAATATGGAATACTACTGATCGGATTTTAACATAATGTTATTTATAATACCTATATATTTTTAGAGGGTTCTCGGGCAAGGAAATGACCGCCGCATTGCCCCAATGCGTGTTGGCGAACATCACATGTCTTCGAAATATTTTTTTTTCTTATTTCTCAGACATGCAGGTTTTCTTACGATGTTTTCCTTCACCGCCGAACACACGGTAAATCAGCCACTGAAAATTGCAATTAACAATTTCAATAGTGCCGACGAGGACCGAACCCGGGTTTCTCGCGTACTGTGAAATTTACAGCGAGTACTTAGGCCCCGAGCTACCACAGCTTAGATTGTAATGATCTATTATTTTTTCCCTCAAAAGAACGTATCAGATATCGGTATTGACTGGGAAACTAACGAGCCCAATATGAGATCATAGTTATATGAAACTTAATTAAACTATGAGATCATAGTTTCAAATATACCATACAGGTTTAAGATGAAACTGTTGCATTTCTTAGGTTTGGTGATTGGATCTCATTTGGAAAATTTGTGATCTCATGTAATGTAATATCCGGACCAAAATTATTAGGTTTAATACAGCACAGTTTAAAAAGTGAAAGAACTGTTGCATTTCTTAGGTTTGGTTTGGTGGTTTTGTTTTTTAATTTGAGATCTCTTGTACCTATATAAGTAGTACCTGGACTGAAATGATTAGGTTTACAATATACCTTAGAATTCTAGGCAACATATTAATATTAGGTATGTTACCTTCCTCTATCCTTGTTCCCGGGTTGTTATTAATCTGTAATATCTAATGTCCTTCACATTTGTTTCAAAAACAAATACTGGTTTTTCTTATTTAATTATTTTACGATTTTAATTATTTTTAAAAATAAAAATAATATATTTAACTAGAAACATATTATATTTGTTGTTATAATCTCAACGTAAGTACCTAAAGAAAATAAACGCGAAAAAATTAAATGTTACATAATATTATGAATGAAGAAGCCTTAATTTGTTAGCTACAGTTTAATATTATAAAGTATCTTCAATAGCGATGTATTTATTTGTGTCATATAATCAGATAACAAATTTATTTGTCCTCCATTTTCGCCATCTTTTCTTTGTGGCGTCTGATAGCATCTTCGTGGCGCTTGATTTGGTCTTCATGGAAAGCAATTTCTTGATTTAAGACTTTTTTTAAATCAGCAAGTTGCTCCCTTTGCTGGAAACACAAAATTATTAAAAAAGTAATATTAAAATGTAAAATATCTAATGTACTTCCTAAAATTGATAAAGAAATTTAAGTAAAACTCAACTAACATAACAAGAGTTGTTGTCGCTCAGCAGGGTGCTCATGTAAAATCTTACATAGTACGTAAAACTCTGTTTGCAAGATGAAAGTAAGAAATATAAGGTGGTAGAAGTCCTTTTCTGCCTAAAAGTCCTGTGTAGAGGAACCACACTACAATCCTCTAACCTATTTTAGCCATCAAGCAACAGGGCAGAACTGTTGTGCTCCAGTCAAAATTAATTTCGATTTCAAATGACGAATCAATGAAAATGTAATAACTATGGAAGAGTTCAGATGGTATACCTGTGTCAACAGAAACTTTATGAAAACTAACTTCAACATTATGAAAAAAAATTTCTTTTAACCGTGACTTTTTCCATGTACAACTTACACAAAAAAAAATCAGACCTTTAATAGTAGTCTTTAGGCAAGTATTTCACATACGAAATAGCTCTTAAAGCTCGAATTTGTTGCTATGTTCTCAAAAACTATGTGTGAATCTTTGAACTCTGTCTACTATATTACATGCGTGGCGCTTTGTGCTACATCGGAAAATGTTTAAAATAAAAACTGAATAACTATAATTTCACATACATAGGTTGTTGCACCCTAATACCTATTAAATGGAATCATGTAGACCTTTCTTTAAGAAGTTAAAAATTCTTCCATTACCTTCCCTATATATATATGAAATTTTAATATTGACCAAAAAAATGCTAACCACTTCACAAAACAACATAATAATTGTGGTGGTATGAGAAGGTACCCGTGGAAGTTATCTGTACCACAGGCAGCCACAACTTGTTTTACTAGAAATAGTTATAGCATGTGCGTTCGATTATTTAATTTACTTCCGAACCACATTCAAAACTTGACATTTAATCAGTTTAAAAAAGTTATTTTCGGGACTCTCATTGAAAACTGTTTTTATGACGTAAATGAATTTATTAAATTCTGCCGTGACGGTCACCTCAAGCGAATTGTTGTTATTTGAAATTTTAAATTGACAAATTAATTAGAATTTGTAAGATTGACATTATACTAGTTTGACATTATGCATTATGACATGACCATGCCTGTATATTTTTTATTATTTTTTTCTCTTTTTACATAATAAATTCATTGACATTATATTACTTTATTAAATTTTGATATGAAACGTTACTGTAATTTTGTAATTTTAATTATTCAATTATTGCATGTCGACTTAATATTTGCACACTGATAAATCGGTAAAACATGCATGTTCACACTATATTATAAGACCTAAAAATGTACGATGTTTTATGCAAATAAATATTTTATTATTTTATTATTATTATTATACCCTAGTTTTATTGAAAAATGGTGTTGAATTATAAAAAGGTTGAAGGTCGATTTTGTATCAAAACTAAGAAAGAGGAGATACAAAGTGCAAGGACTTTTTAAAATATATCTTTTTTTTAAGTGCAATTTTTAACATGTTTTAATAGCATGCAAATAACTCCCTGATCTTTATAGAAGCCAGTAATTTTGATATTGGATACAGACTTCAATTTTATTTATATGTATAGATATAATATAGGTATAACAGTAAACAGTGTTTAAGAATTGTAAGTACCTCTCGCATCTCATACCCTGCTGAACGTCGCCGATCGAGGCGTTTTACATATGGCGTAAACAAGATGAATTTTCCACCATCTTTTAAAAGATATAAGAGCTTCCTGGGATTTCCAACAGTCAATCTCTTACGTCAACCTACTGGACACCCTTGTACCCTATGACATATTAGTTATAATCCACTAACTTTAGCTGCTGTGTTTCATATTATGTATGATACATGTACAGAACCAGAAACCCTTTTTACTGGATACGAGGCATTAACAACACATCTGTATTTTGATTCTTAATTGAGGATAAATGTAGATGTCTATGGGCTAAGTTATCCATTTACCATTATGTGGACTGCATTCTCATTTCTATAAAAAAAAACTGTAGTCTGATATTATGGAGAAATATTTCTTCTATAAATATATATTATGGTGAACAGTGTTAACAAACCTTTTTATAAAAGTATTCATCTTCTCTTACAGCCTCCATTTTTCCAAAACTGCCACCGGCTTCACGGATAGAACCACCACCACCACCACCTCTACCAGCTCCGGATCCAGGTTCACCAGAATACATTCTGCAAATAGGTTAACACCTATTATTTAAAATGAGATGATAGTTTGAAAGTATCATTATTTTTATATTCTATAATATTATATTCCTTATCATCCTTATTTTATATTCTATTCTTTAATATTGTAATATAATAATATTCTCTAATTTTATCTCCTTTTTCTGGTTAATTACCCAAACAGGGTTCGGAAGCACAGACTTTGATATATTTCCTATTAAATATATAATAAATTGGATATATTTTCAAATATTTCCTGAAATATACAATACTTGATCAATCAAATTACTAGAAATTAATTAATGGCACACAACTAGTTAAGGCAAAAGAAACAGATAAATCAAGAAATTTTTATACTTGGTATAGCCATGCTGGAGCTATTTTATAGTTGTAGCAATGGGTCCAGGGATGGAAAAAATCATGATTTTTTTAATTTTAATCAAATCATGCTGATTTTTAAAAAAAATCATGATTTTTTTGAATTTTTTGACTTTTTGATTTTTATTGTATATTTTGAAATTCACGAGTTGGTAACACTTTTTGACATAGTAGGATTAAAAGTTTATGAATACATATGTATGAATAAAATAATTAATACTGTATTAATTACAGTTCATATCTTAAGGGTGAATTTCAAAAAAAAAATTTTGGTTGATTTTCCAAAGTTTATGAGACTATTGTAGTAGAATAATAAGAATAACATAAGACAATAAAAGATTTTACCTTATGTTAAGCCAGTATTATTTCGATTTCTGCTTATTACATTAATTTATACATGTTGATTTAAATCAATGATTTTTTTAATCAAAATCAAGCGATTTAAATCGTGATTTAAATCAGTCTGATTTAAATCAGCCAACCCTGAATGGGTCGGCTCGACCGGAGTGGGACCATGCTATCACATAATACCAGTGTGAAATAGCAGCTTTATTGTATTTTGTATGGTGAGCACAGAGAACCGGAGACCCTTTTTACTGGAAACAAAGCATTTCATCTTAGTCCTCAGGAGTGACAATGCATCTGTATTTTGATTTTCAATTAAATATAAATGTATGTAAGTGTCTATGGGCCACAGCAATCACTTACCATCAGGTGGATTTTGTGCTCGAATGTCAACCTTATTCTATAAAAAAAAATCAGAGGCAGGTCAAGGTATCCCGTGCCGCCTGAAGCCGCATATGTGTCGCGTCATCCCCTGTGTTACCCTAACTTTTGTTTGCTTCGTAAGAATTTGTCCCAAGACAACTCTTAAATAACACACGTCATGTCAGAAGAGTTACAATATAAAAGACAGCCTTTTTGCCCTTGCCATTTTATATTGAAAAATTCAAATACTTTTTTACTATTCTAAGCCAGCACTTAACTATAATCCCAACTGATGGTAAGTGTTGTAGTCGAAAATAGAGAAGCGCACTAACTTAACAAAAGCTCTCAAGCCTTGAAGACACCCACATTGTAATTGGACGTAAAAACAGATGTTGGCAACTTATTCCACTCCATTGCTGTACTCATGACAAACAATGTAGCAAGACATTTGATTCAAATGTGTGATAAGTCAACAACGAAAGGGTGGAGACTGGCCGAACTTTTGGTTGTGCCAGGTGGAAGGGAGAAGGAGAAATTAAGTTATGTAATTCCTGCACACATTCTTCGAAATATATTTTGTAGAAAACCAAAAGACTAGAGATGTGACTTTAGAATTTGTACATAGTAGAGCCATGCTGCAGCTATATTAATAGTATAGTTGTAGCACGAATGGGTCGGCTCGACCGGGGAAGGACCACGCTCTCACAGAATACCAGCGTCAAATAGCAGCTTAATGCTGCTGTGTTTCGTATGGTGAGTGTAGAGAACCGGAGACCCTTTTTTACTGGAAACGAGGCATTCCATCTTAGTTCTCACGGGTGACAACGTATCTGCATTTTGAGTCGAAATCGAGGATAGATGTAGATGTCTATGGGCCACAGCAACTACTTACCATCAAGTGGACTGTGTGCCCGTTTGTCACCATATTTTATTATAAAAAAGCAGAATATACTTATTTAATCAAAGTACATATTTATCCTCCTTTTCTACACATTTTTGCCATTTCAAGGGAAGATTATTTATGCCTTTCAGAGACATATCTCAGTTTGTTTGTTATTTATTATATAGTTAAATTATATATTTTTTATATTTGATATCAATGGCTAACTCCAAAATATTGCATTATGTTTTTGTTCAGGCGTTACTCTAAAAAAATACAAAAGCCTATTTATCTACAAAATTCGTAAATGCATGTAACTAAATGACGACACAATAGTTATAGGATGTATCTAAGTGACCTTTATCCGAATGTTAAATGTGAATAGTGTTTATTGGTTTCGGTGCGAGAAGTTATCAAATCCGAGTCGATTTCGCTTTCCGAGACGATTGTTAATAGCCCGGCTGGTCTAGATATATCTGTACTTCGTAAATTCAGTATTTACATACTTATTATGTATTTGAATATGAATTTATTATATACTAAATATATACTTAATGTATCTGTAAATCTGTGAATAATATCTTTAAATACAAACATACAAGATAAGGTAAAAAAATTCTATCTCAAGCTTTCATACCTGAAATGACGTATAATTTGAAATTACAATAAATTTTCGATAATATAAAGGAAATGTATTTGAAGTAGGATGTTAATGCGTCACAAAACTGGAGATGGATTTGCTAACAAAATTTCGGAAATACGCAATAGGTTAAAAGTTTTAACACTCGACCATAATGATTCGTTTTTAAATATTTTATACGTAGGTACATAATTACTATAATGATAGGATTATAAAATAAATTAATTTTGGCTCACACATACGTAAAAGAGATTCGCTAAAATTCGATTGCGTAATCTACTATGCCGGTAATCAAATAAAGTACCTTAAATTGGCAATTGCAGGAATTAATGAAGTTCTTGTTCTAGCAATAAAGCTCATGATTTTAAATTTATATACTTTTGAAAATTATTAGATTAGAAGAATTTCTTCTCTTTTCTTTTTCTTTCGTAATTTCGATTAAGTGACGTGATTATGACATAGGCCTGGGCAAAAAATATCGATATATCGAAATATCAATATTTTTAATATAAATATCGATATATATCGTCGATATTAAAAATCACTTTAGTTTGATTATTTGAGTATTTAATTCGTATCAAATTCGATATATTTTAAAATGTTGTATTAATGACAAAACATGTAACAACAAAATGATAATATAAAATTTTGGACCTTTTCTTTACAGATAGATAGGTATACTTCTCCGCTTTGGGCCTGCTTTGTGAGGAGGGTTATTTTAAAACACAGTTATTTAGATTAAATCCAAATTGACCTCATCTGATTTTATTTTGATATTTTATTTTATTATGATTGTATTTAATCTAATTTAATTAAGACATTATTTGATTTCGATTGATTTTTATTTGATTTTTTTGTTTGATTGTATTTAATTTTATTTTATTTTGACATTACTATTATTTTTATTTTTTTATTTTTGATTTTATTGTAATTTAATTTTGGGTATAGATTTGATTTTAGTTTTGATTATATTAATTAAATTTATTTAATGTTCTCAATTACTAACCTAATATAAGTTATACTAACAACTTATGAAAATAGAACTGAAATAAAGAATTATTATATTATTATTATTATTTACATCATGCAAATGATGACGTTATACCGATATTTATCTCGCGATATGTATCGATACTGTTCAAAAATATCGATTCGATATATGATATACGATGATATTCGAGATACGATGAGATATACGATATATTTTTTCCCTTTGCTCATCCCTATTATGACATTCATCAATTTTTTTATAATTGGCTTTCCGGCTCTGGGTTCAAGCCCTTCTGGTTACAATATATAATTATCCTTCGTAGTACACTGCTTCACAATATGTTGATGCGTGCAGCCCTTGGGAGATTTTGACGGCAACTTAAGCCAGCAGACAGCTGACAGTTGGCGATGGTATCTCTAGGCCCTAAGTAAACAGACACCTTATCTTGAGAATCACATCACCATCAGCACTTGTTTCAGCGTTTCCACTAATAGTTTACATGCGCAGACAATACACAAAATCGCACCACTTTTACTTATCAAAATTAAAAAATAATTGCTTTTTAGCCAAAAAATTCCAGCAAAATGAAAATGAAAATTTTCTTTTGTATAACATAGATTAAAATGAGTAATATATTAATGAATGAATATAATTACATTTTTTGTTGTTCACCTGTGCATAAAATATTATTTTTTCTTTACAAAATCGTACAATACGAGATCATAATCAGCAGCAATGAACGTGACACTGATAGCTACGAGACTGAAACTGAAATTGGACCAGCATCCTCCAAAATAACAAAAGGTGAACATCACAAACAAAAGTTCAAGATTCAAAAGACATGATTACAAAAATTACTTCGTCAATTTATGACAAAGAAATGGAACTTTTGTAAAAAAATATTTCTAATAAAAATGTAAAAAATATCATAAAAACGTTGTATTTTGTTTTACATTGACACGGCAATATACACTATAATTTCAAAATAAATCTAAGGTAATTATACTTAAGACACGGTAATTTTAGTCTGCTGACACGGTAGTTTGCAATTTTTATATGGTAACTCAAAGTTTTAAAATATAGTTATTAGACTTTTTTTAGATGTAGGACTTACATCTAAAAAATATTACTTACATTAAGTAATTTAAAACTTAAGTAAGCTTATTTAAAACGCCTAAATAATCAACAAACGATAATTCTGTTTTAGTAATTTTTGAAATAACAGATTGATATTTAATAATTTATGATAAATCAAATAAAGAATTATCACTGTAATTTTTTGTTTTTCTATAAAATGTGAATTTTCAAGTATATCAAATTACCAACGTAACTTTCAATCAGGTCAGGCTATGATGGCAACATTCCTGGCTATTATAACAATTAACATTTTTTGAATAAACAATTACTTAAGTAATTTTTTATGAATTGATAATAGTAAAATTTAAGATTTGCGACCCAGATCCCGGTCAATGCATTAATTGAGCAATTGCTTGCATAGATTTTGTTACCATGTAGCAAATGGCATAATTCTAACTCTAAAAAATGTTTATATATGTATCTAAGCAAAATCAGGATCTCATTACTCATTAAAAGTAGGTATTATACTTTCAAATAGAGAATGAATTTGTTCTAGGTAACCTCAAACCACAACCTTATATAGATAATATGTGCATATCAATGGTCTCACTAATTCAAATTTATCCAGTATAAAAGTTAGATTTACTTTTATAAATTTGGTTCTGTTAAAGATACAATAGGACAAATTATTCAAACTTAATAATGCTAAAAATACTGTAATAACTAAAACACTTACGACATTTCACATTTTTTTACCCATAAAACATGCTTAAGCTTTTGCTCTGCTGTGATTTTATTTAATTCTGCTGCTTCCCTCATTGCCTTTACAACTTGACGTTCCTCTTTCAAAGTCTCCAGTTTCAGCAGCTTTTCAGTATTAGAATATCTATGAATGTAATAAAGTAGGTACATGTAAAATGTAATTTTATTTAATATAACACATAATCGGCAGACCTGTAGTATAATAAGTTTATGGGATGTACACACCATTTCATCATCTGTTAAATTACTGGGCATGATATGAATTTTATATTAGAATTTTCAGTTAATATAACTGTTTATCTGGGGGCACGGTAGTGCCCCCGCCAAGTCAAGCAAAAAGCGGCACGGCCGTACAATCCTTTTCTCGAAGCAGTTCAGGCCATTTTTGACCCCCTATAACTTCGTTGTGGATAAATCTAGAAGCCTGAATTTTCAGTAACCAAGCATGCATTGTATGAACACGGTATATTTCAAATTTCATTTAATTTGAACTAGTAGTTTAAGAATTATAACTAGTCAAAGTTTCTTAATTTTGTCACTCACTGACTGACCGATCATCAACACTCTAATGCACTTCTAGCAGATGTAGAAGCTTCAAATTTAGAATACAATTAATGTTTAGTGTATAAATCAAGGGGGAACTAAAATATTTTGTAATTATTGTCCAATTTTCTAGATACGCCAACTGTTGTACCAAAATCCCGCAAAGTATTAAGTACACTAAATTGCCCGAAAATCCGTAGTTGGTATTCAAGAAGTAGATGGTACCGGAAAGGAAAAAAGTAGGACTATCTACAAAAAGAAATTACATGCTATCAAAACAAATCTTTTATGTTTTAAATACATAGATTGACTTGGCAATCGCATTAAACAATCTAATTTAATATAATATCTATTACTTGTGAGATACATTGTGTTTTTATGCGATGGCCAAGTCTATTTATTTAATATATAAAAGATTTTTAATATTGATATGGTCACTATAAGATGTTGTTAAGTTAGCTAATTACGTAATAACTTGAGGCAGATAGACCCTTAAGTAGGGACTGAATAAATTAACCGACTTGGTATTACATGCATCTCACAACTTTTTACGGTAGAAGAACTGAGTTGCGAGACTTGGTTTTTTACAAGTTATGTTTTTGATGGCATTAAACTTAATTCAACAGCCTCAACTTTTTTTTCAATACTGCTATAGACTTGTCTAATTACTTACTTGAAAAATTCTTGAAGTTCTTTATGAAATGGATTGATATTAAATCCATCCCCAATAACCATATCAGTCATAACACAAGCATTTTTCTTGGTGTTGTCCTTGTTTTCTTGGTTTATTTCAGTATTTTGTTGGTCAATTGTTTCAGATATTTGTTGAGAAACAGATGATGATTTAAGAATATTAGTGTCATTTACAATATTTTGTCTATCTTGGTCAAACGAATCAAAGCCATTAAGGCCACTACAACCAGGCTGAATCATTTCCCTGTAAGAAGTATATTGGATCACAATTGTGGCCAAGAACTGATTATCACTGAATAGTGATATTGTTTTAAAATTATATCACTATTATGTTGGATAAAAATATAGTATGTACTAGTTCAAATTTTAATTTTATTTGGTATTTTAATTACTATATTTTTATTAACAAATTATTATTTTAGCTTAGAAAGTTTTAAAAGTATATCTATGCGTATAGCGTATAACAGTAATACATTAATAACTAAACACTAATGTCTAAATAGTTAAAAATTGGTAGAAATAACTTTCAGAAAAATACCATATAATAACTTACTCATCTACAGTTTCTGCCTTAATTTCAACATTAGTACTAAGTATTGTTTCATTGATCTTCTCATTATCATTTTTTATTTCTTCATCTTTCACTAATTCTAAAATATTGCATACCTCTAACGATTGTCGTGTATACTTTTGTACATCCAATCCGCTTTGCGATATTTCTTCGCGTGCAATACGTTTCATATTTTGCCACTGTGTTTTTACCTTTTTTATTGAGCTCTCCGAAAACTTATTACCAAACTTTGCAGCTAGTTCTCTTAAAATTTCATACCAAACTACGTCTTTTTCTTCAGAATGTTTAGGCCCGTTGCTATTTTTCGTAACGATTACCTCTTTGCGTTCCTTAATTAACTCTAGAAGAAATTGTTTCTCATCAAGTGACCAGTTAGGGGTTCTCGATCGACGATTAGTAAATTTTCTCATTTTCAGCGGCACTTTAGTTGGAACGTGATTTATCTTTTGCAACGATTTGTTGCAAACGATGCACTCAACGTCCAAAATTATCGATTTCCACATTTAATAAACAATTGAACTACGAAAAATAAACGAAGATATTTGATTTGACAAGCTGCGACTAACTGCAAGAATGCTAATAAAAAACTATTTCCGAATGAAGTTTTCATTAAAACTATTTTTATTTTACGGACTGGAAAAAAATGAATAAAAATATTTTCAATGAGGCAACGACTTACTTCGTGAGAAAAAGTGATTATAGTAAATCAAATTGTTTAATTGA